TATCTATAATAGCTTGATTTTATTTGAAATATGGAACTGTCATTTGGAGTGGAGGTCAATTGTGCTAGCAAGATTAGTCCTCATATTATTGAATTCAGCCCTGATTTGATCCCTTTACTAGAGTAATTTGTGGCGATGGTAAAATACAAACATAGTTTGCGTGTACACTTCACAGTAGTTCCTAGTTCCAAGTTCCAACAGTGATCTCACTACATAATTTACATTAATTAGGACCCAAAGGCTTCATAATTTTTAGATTGAAATGATTGTATGAAAATTAACTCTTCTATTCCTCATTTTATTATTACAACTAAGCGTTGCAATGACAGAAAACATTGAGATTCAACTAACATGATATATATTACTGAGCACTGAGTAAGAACCTGCTATGAGTGCCACAACAAAAGCTACGAGTGCTTAGTTTTCCCATCTAGATGCCTTTCCATAGATTTCAAAGATATTGTCGAGGTTGCCTATGCTTACAAAAAGTAGACATATATAGCATAAGTTGAAAACAGCATTGCTGTTCTGCCCGTCATTTCAGATACGTTGAATGCTGCAATCCCTAGTCTTGGTTCCCTCATGTTGGCTGTTGATTTTGTAGCCTGCTGCTACTGTCAAAGTGTTAAACCAGCATCAAATGTGAGTAGCATTCCATTCAGAGGTTGGGATTTGGGATTTGGGAATTATCTCAGTTTACCGGTATTATATTTGTGAAAGAAACTATTATCTCCTAATGAATACATTGGCTTATTTGTAAGTATCATCTGATGCATTTGTCTGGCTGCCAAACTTTGGCGTATGATATATAAGAAATAATGCAAAAGAATGCAGGCTTGCCTTAGGTTTAATAGGTGGAGCTGCTACTCTTAAGCCTTATCTGTTTCCAAGTTTGGGTTGGCCAATCCAAGCTGCTTTGACTTCTTTTTGGGGTGTTGGCAAACGAAGTTGAAGGTACCCCTACCCTTAAAATTAGGTGAGAAAACTCTTTGTTAAACAATCAGCTGCTTTGACTTTGCTAGTAGTAAATCACTAATCTTTACATTGCTTTATTTGAACTATTGAAAGAAAATAGAAAATGGATTGAAAGAAATATAGACAGATTTACCTGTTTTGGCTATTGTACTTAAGAGTCCAATAGCAAAGGAGCAAGTGTTATGCCTATACATATGGCTTGTAGTACAATAATAGGGAAAGATTCGGCAGGGGTGACCTGAGAACATATGGGGGACACTGATACCGGATGAATCTTGATGGTCTCTCGTGTGTTCTCAGGTTACCCTGTTGAATCAACCACTTGTTTCCTCATAACAAAAGGGCCCTGTACTGGACCTTAACAGGGGAAGATTCGGCAGGGGCGACCTGAGAACACATGGAAGACACTGTCACTGATACTACAATAGAATGACTCTTTGATATTATCTCCTTCATGTATTCTCATGTTACCCCTGTTGAATCAGCCACTTCTTTTCTCTTTTAAGATTTTAATAATAACAGTCCAATGCTATATAACATTGAATGCATGTACTCCATCAAATATAACAGTGTACTGCACCATTGTACTTCATAGAGTTAAATTTTGGGAGTACATTACTTGTACTTTGCGGCTCGAATCTACTAGGCAATGTTAAGGCATATTTAGTCCAAGATGACAGAAAGAAGTTTACCCCATGATTTTTTTTTGCAGACATCTATGGTCCCATGTACTTATGTAGGCATAGAGACACTCATTAGTTTGATGTGCACCATGTATATTACGATATAGTTGAAGGCTTGAAGCATTCCAAAACTTAAAAATACTTTTATTGATTGCAGGAACTTGATGGTTGAATGCCAAATTTGAAAGATGTTTTGGTTTTGGAGTTATATTGATAAAATTTGGTTATTTACTACGCCAATGTATCAGTATATAACCAATAAGTTGGGACCCTGATACAAGTGCTACAATACACTACATACCAGTATGCATGATTTAATGGTTAGACACAAAAGCAGAATCAATTTGTTGTTGGAACTGCCGAACTGCGCTGGTGATTCCTAGACTTCAAGGGAATCACCATTGAAACCACGCTGGAGGAATCCGACCTTGTTGAGATGGCTGACGTCATTCCATGCCTTGAACTCCCATTTGTTATTGGTGAGATGGAGAACATTGATTGAGCCATTCATAATCTTCCCAGCAGAAGCCTCGCTAGTCAGCGCCATGTAAATCGCCCTCAACACACCTCCATGAGTCACAACAATCACACGTTCCCCTGTTGATTCAACTCAACAAGTCAATACAGGTAAGTCTAGAAACCTAGGATTTATTGTCCCAGTAATGAAAATGGCATAAAAATTTGGAAATGAATTAAAGACCACTTGCCCTTGTGCTTTAAAGCAATTTGCTCAAAAGCAGCCACAGATCTCTGGCAGAGTTGATCAAAACTTTCTCCTCCAATGTGATTGTAAAATATGGGCATATGGTAAAGGGTATTTATAGCCAAAAAGCATGTGTTACACAAAATCTCAATAAACCAAATAACATGTACATGTGTGAGCATCAAATTAAACTTAGCCA